CACGGATTCACTCAAGTTCCTTGTAGCGGGCAAACATGACTCTCCGGACAGCATCCCGATAAGTTTCATTGGACTGCCTCTTGCTGGGTTTCCCTTGGGTTCCTAAACCAGCTCCCTTCTTCCAATTTTCTGCCTGAAAACAACAGAAACAACTTGTTTTTAGCAAAACAGTAACAAAGAGATCAAAGTAAAGGATACTAAAATTTTGATCAATTAAGCTCAAGGTCTCCAGAGGCTACATTAAACACAATATTCTCCTGGGACTAACAGAAAGTGGGGGGAAAGCACTTGCTACTTTGATGGGCTTCATTATGAGGTCTCTGCAGGAATATCCTGAGAGTCTGCTTTCAACATGGCCAGCTCCCCTGTCCAACAGAGGGATGTTGGCTGCAGAGCAGCCCTCCTAGTGCTAATCTGAGCTGGCTTTTTTCCAAAACCCCATCCTAAACTGCAGGCACCTCACAGCAACAACCAAGTGAGCACCTGGGGACATTTCCTGACAATATTTGAACTGGAATGGGAATTGTGTGTTTGCTGCCTGTAAGAACTGACTGTTGAAGCTTACCTGCTTATGAAACACTAATGTTACAATCTCAAATATTTGCCTTTAATTAGACATTTGACTGTAACATTCAAAATTTGCAATCTGAGCTGTGTCTGAGTTGTGCATGTCCTTCAGTCAGGAATCAGAAACAATTACATACAACTGGTGTCACTAAACAATACAGTGCATATTTCAAATGTTTGCAAGTATCCAGTCATGTGCTATTCAAGCCATACACTATTCTCTCGAGAGGAAACATTCAAAAAATCCCCAAGTTAATTCAAAACACACGTAATCTGAGACTACTCAAAAAACCTAGGGTAAAATGTAACAAATCAATTGTTCCTTATGATGTAATCTTCTGAACTTAAAACATCTTGTCAAAAAGTACAGACACTTGTACTAATGGCTGTTTCCCTCCACCAGAAGTTTGTCAGATTCTGCTTTAACCAGATTTAATCTTTCCCTGCAGATGAAGAAGGGCATACCACAGTCCACTCAGACTGGCATGGGAACTGCCACCAAATAAAAGATTTTTGGTAATTTGTTTTTGAAGGGAAAGAAAGATGCTTCACCTCCAGTGGCGACATCATGCCCTGCTGGTTATGTCCCAAGCCTGACCCTTCTTTCCAACCCAGAGGTTGCAACATACGCCCTCCTTGGTTGTTATTCTCAATTCTTGTTTTATTCATAGGGTTATAGTCACTGCAAAAGAAACAACTATAAATAACCAAACAAACAGCTTTGTTTTGTTTTGAAAACATAGCAGGTATTTTTAAGATAGAGTTGGTTGCACTGCAAGCAAATCTAAGGGCTCAGAAAAGCACATCTTGCATGCAACAAACATGAAGTTTGAGGCCAGAGCTAGACTTACTATGGTACTTTTTGCATGCATGATTAAGGCACATGTTTCCTAACCTAGCTCTTGGATGTACAGAGAGGTGAAGGGGAAAATGGATGTGTGCCTCCTCTCTTCTTTATGATACATAAAGAATGCCTGAAAGGCATTACAAAGGCTTAAAAAAAATAAACTTTAGAAATACCAGGAATTTGGCCTTTCCCATTTTGCAAGATCTTTACTTCTGATTTCAGAATTTATTTTGAAGAGATAAAGGTGTCCAATCTTTGGCAGAACTTTTCTTCCAAAAGTTCACTAGGTGTTAAAGTTGCTTGTTAGCAAAAACAAAATTTGAAACTCTGAAAAAAAAAAATCACGTCTATCCTCTCAATCAGGTTTTACCTCATGGCTATGTCTGAGTGCCACATATATACCAAATTCTGAAATCATCCCCAGTATTTTCCAGAAAAAATAGAGAAGATAGTACTCGAATTTCTAATCCAAAGAAAACCCAGCTGTGATAACATCTCCTTCCCAGGTTTCATATATCAAAAACAAACGTGGCATTGCCCTTTACAGGTCACTTTTAACCGAGCCTGCCCATTTCATGCCTACCGACCCCAAGTACAGGCATACCTCGTTTTATTGCGCTTCGCAGATACTG